TAAGACAGGGTGGCCTACGCGAGTAACTCAATGTGATTGATAAGTAAACTGAACTACAGTGTGCACAAGTGTGACTCACTGAAATCACTATAATTCAATCAGCAATTAGCTACCTGCATCATCAGGATCCAGCGAGAAATCAATGCTTCGAACCGTAGAATTCATTCCATTTCCTGTAGTTTCCGTTAGAGTGGGAGTAGTAACAGTTACACACCACTCCAGAAAGCTAACAAATAGGCGTTTTTGAGTAAGAGAGAGGATTCGAGTCTGGAAGATCTCTCCACGCGATACGGGCACCTAAATTATTAAAATAAGACAAGCATTTACCTTGACAAGAAAGGGAGGGTTAGAGTACGACCGAAGACAAGACGGCTCAAGACTTCTTGTAGCCGCAGCAGCAGTGGCAGCGGTTCCTCGGTCATCAAGTCCATCGGGATTGAAGAAGAGAAGTCGATTGACAGAACGAAATTCCAAGTATCGGGTGACATCGGAACGTATCAAGGCCTGGACTAATGGACTTTCAGCGAAAATTAGCTAAATCATAAGCAGACTGATTTGAAAAAAGGCCGAAGTAAACATGACCTATAAAAAGCATGAGTTACGCGTGGCATAACATCGAAATCAGCTCTTCTAAGACCCTCAATAAGGAAGCTCTTAGTCCAAACGGGAGGCGTAGCATTCATAGAAGGTGAAGCTGCACTTGAAGCTGTCTGCGAGGGCTGAATCTGCTCTAAGACACGGGAAGGCGAGTCCGGAACTACCGGTGTTTCAGTGACATCCGCAAATGTCTGCGTTTCTGTAAGATTCGCCCGTGTTTCATCTGGCGCTTGAGATACGGATTCTACACCATCCCTGCGAAACGATAAGGAATCCCCAACAGTAACTGTAGGAAAAAATATATTCGCACATCACGAGGACTTACGGAACGAAAAAATTAGAAGAACAGTTCCGAACAATGGGATTACTTAGAAGGGTAAGATTTAACTCTGCGAGAGAAGATTGTGCTCCAACGTTGCCATTGCTTAAGGAGGAACGAGACTAAAAAAACCATCAGAATACATTTGCCAGGCTTACCCAGTTATTTAACTGTTTAAGTAAGTCGGAGAACCGAAAAGACGTCATATAACCTCCATAAAAGTCATGACTGAGATCTTAGGCATAAGCTAAGCTCTAACTACCTATCGATATGAAGAACAGAAGCACCAACAATGGCTAAACTGGCAGCGACGATGGATTCCGTGAGCCCTGAAAGAAGAAAGTTCCATTTGGCTAGTCTAAGTGGCAATGACCAATGAAACCCATAACAAGCAAAGCAAAGGATAAATACATCAAGTGGTCGTGTGGAACACTGTTCCAGAATACCTGTTCCGATAATAACGCAATCAACGTCGTCAGGAAAATTCATTTTAACCGGAGCTGCTTAAAAGCTCATACACCCTTGGTAAACTGCAAATTTAGACAAAGCGGATTGCTAAACGTCGCGTTAAACGAATTTGTTCCTTTTAACCGAAAATGCTGCCACAATTTGATAAAAGGATTGATTACTATAGTTATTATGATAAATTTAAACATTTATACATTTTTAAAGGATTAAGTAACTTTTTTACCGCGTACGCCTTGCATGAAGAATTGCTGTGTTCACAAACCAAATCGAGCATCTGCACTATCGAGGGCTGTGCTGCAGATCGTCTTAATCACTTTTGCATGAAAGTACTAGAAAAAATTAGCAGGCTGTTGATTCTTTGCTTTTATTTTTTTCGCTGTTTCCAAATCAATGCACACTTATTGCACACTGCTTTTTCTGTCAATAACCTTCGCGAACTTGTGAAGCATAATTTTTTCGACTGTGATACATGTCGGTGACCACTTAGTATCTGACGGTTACCCTCATAAACGTTCGGACCTTGTACTCGTGGCCTCACCTCCGTAACCAGCTCAGGCTTGATCCTTTTCCTCCTCTAGAATACGTGTAATCAGCCCCAGTTAATGCCCTCTTCTACCTGGTTTGAAGTCTCGGGATCCTATAATTGTGTGGGTTATATTCTTGATATTAGTGCTAAACCCATGCTTACGGCGATCCCCCCAAAATTCCATTTGCGATGAAAAGCTCCTCACGCAGAAGCCAAACCTTCTTTGTCTTTGCACCGACCTTGGGAACATGACGCCTCACAACTTATTAGAAAACCAACGCTGTGTCAATAAATATAACACCGAACAAGGCATTTATAAGCAGCGAAGCACAAATGAAAATGAAACTTGTTCTTGAATCATGCTAAAGTATGCACTGAAAAGTAGACAGAAAAAACAGTGATTGTAAATAATCGCATTTGTGGACGCGATAACAGTGTTGGCGATCGCGTGGATCAACTAGACCGATCTAATTTTGGTGTCACGATAGTGGGCCTATCGGTATATCTGCTCTCCTCTGGCCCATCGAAAATTGAAGTAGCAGCGGTGAGGGAAGGAGGCCGTCTAAGGGTCTGTCGACGTGTATGCTGATCGGTGTGGTGACCGCTATCGGTGAGGGCCATTCGCAGCACTGCTAAGTAGTCACTGGAGCGCAGAAATCGAGTATAAGAGTCCGATTTCATGAGCTTATAGATCTGCTGTTTGGCTTCCAGAAAAATGTGCCACGAGGGATCCTGTATAACGCCAAGGTAATGGATTTAGAGAGTTTACTACTGCTCACTCCTAATCAAGTATTAATGTGGGTATGGTAGACAAGGTACTACTTGTAATGCTGCAATCATCCCAGAAAATTCCATGAAATTTGAGGTACCATCATGTTGGTGAGAGAAATCAAGCCACAGAGAAAGATGACAAGGTTCATAAGAAGTAGTCGAAGAAGGAATGCACTAATGATTGAGAGAGCAAACTCTTGGCAAACAGTAGATGAGATTACCATCGGGGAATTGCATACCTGTTTCCGCAAGTGAATCATCACACCTGAGACTAGATCGACGATCTTAAAAGTGACAGAAAAGTGAACCAATTAGCAGTTGTGCAATGGTCAGAAATCTTGGGACTGTAAAAAGTAGTTTTTGGGACTTGGGTGCCCACTATATCAGCCTTTGCTCTGATAGCACGGCGCTCTTCTAAATACATAGTTAAATCGTACAATTGAATGCTAAACAATTTACAGACGTTTCAGAAGTCCCCTTGAGCCAGTGGCTCTTCCCTCCTTTGTTAGCATGCCAGACTAAATGGGTGACTTTCCTCAATTAATGAGATTACCTCGCTAGCTGGTACGTGAGCCATTAACGCAAAAAATCAAGACGCATGCCATCTCGACCGCCTTCCTTAATCACCCTCCTCTTCTGCCTTAGCTTAATCAGGACAAAATACGACAAAAGGCGCACTTTGTAGAGCTTACTGAAAGCCAGAGACTGACCAATTAATGAAACCAGACTCAGGAGGGCGCCCATTTCTTTAAGCAGACATAATGCAGCGGAAAATGTCCCAAAGTGGTTACTATGGTACTGCAAATGTGGTGCTACTGAAGCTAAACAACTCAAAAGACAATAATAAGACTACCTTAACAGCCTTACAGTTAACAAGTAACTGATTCTAATTCATCAATGATGGAAAATTACCATTTTTTGTGTAATTAAAACTCCTCTATACAAGAGCTCCAAAGATGGCGCCGAAAAGGGCACAAAAAAACTAAGGCAAAAGGAAATTAAAATCGTATGACCATAAATAAGTCATCTAAATAACACAGAGAAGAGTAAAGAAAGAGGGGAGAAAACATCATCGCCCCGCAACTATCGAAAATGCTCCCTACTAAAGGGGGATGTGGAGTAGTCAGTTTCACAGTTCCATCAGCCACAATTACCAACTTAACTGAGTGAGATGCCCTAAAAGCCAATGAAAGTCCTTTTTTTCGGCAATAAACAGGCGAGGAGAAAACAAATCAAAGGAGGCTAAAATGCTGCTCGGGTTCATAAAAACGGGAGCTCCCGTGGTTGAAAAGTGCATCCAGCGACCTATTAGTAAAGCAACAATGGTGAAAGGTTAGTATCTTGAAACAATGATTTACTAATGGGTAATAGGATCCACGAAACTCTGCAATGGTAAACAAACGAGATTAACACTGTCAAGGGGTCAACCGCAATATCTGATCCGACCTATAGCGGAATCCCGATCGGCTAAGAATTGAACCCAAAGTAGTTGCCCGCAAAAAATAACCTGTAACAGCACTACCTTCACTGCGAACTGGCAAGACGAGGACGAGGTTGACACTTTGATTATGTTCGCTGCATTGTAGTACCTAAGGCATTGAGTTTCCGAGGCCAGAGTTGGTCCAACTTACAAGGGAACAAAGTCGCATTTGCAAGCACACATCGAGCGTCTTCCACAAAATAAGTTTCAGTCACAGATACCCACAGTTTTCTAAGAAGAATTTCAAGGCACAGCTCCATGCGCAGGAACTAACGGCTAAGCAAAGAGGAGTTCGATGCCACTGGTGTAAAAATGCTTAGACAAGAAGAGATATTTCTCGTCGCTTCCAAAAACGAAAGAAACTGGGATTATTACTCGTTTTAGCTTTTGGCGAGGAAGTGCTAAATTCAAACAACTAAGACCACTACCACACAACCAAGTAGACGTGTATGTCCATTCCCTTACCCCTTACCCATGTTACAATTGAAGAGGCCTTTGTCACACTCAATCAACCAAAAAACGCTGTCAGTGGAAACAAAAAGAAATCAATGGGTAAACTAAACCTGCGGGTAGGGGAGCAACCATAACTGCCGTAGTCAGAGCATTTGAAAGCCCTACTACCGAATGACAGTACTGTTATGCTAAATAAAATGCTTATTATACAACTCCAATTATTCGGGAACAATGGCGTGAAAATGTCTTTTACCAATAAAAAAAAAAGCTCCGAACGAGTGCGAATGACGTACTTCAATGGCTCTGGTGGTGTTAGCTCGGGTGCTGCAGTCAATGTTGATTTCAGAGGGAGCATTGGGTCCAAGAAATTCCTCGTAGATACGTTGACAAGCCGCTTTGAGGTTTGATAGTGGAGTGAATTGGTAGGCATTTACACTGAGCCAGAATCGTAGGTTCTCCGAGCTGAACTCCTTTTCCAAGAAGCTCTTGAAGGCCTGACAACCACTGGGATCCCAGAGGAGGTTGTCAAAGCTAGTTGCCCACAGTCGTACCTGGCAGTTTGCAGAGAGATTAGCAGGAAACAATTCAAATAGACTACTTTTCTGCATGCTATCAAAAATAACACAAAGATGGAAAAAATGGAGAAAAATTGGAGGAAAAATATGGTAGTTTTTCGACTTACTTGAGCCACTCTCAAAATTGAGCAATAACATGCTCCAGGAAAAAAAAAATTTACATTCGCCACACATTGTGCCAAAAGAAGCAGCGATTAATTACTCTCTTTCAGTGGTCGAAAGAAACGCAACAGGACCAAAAGTCACCCTCCGTATGTATGTGGGGGCACACGGCTTTTGTGAGGGATCGAGGAAGTAGTGATTGGTTGTGCTTGAATTCGCCGTCTGCTTGTACTTGTACAGCAGGCTTGATGCCCTTGCAATTCAATGAAATGGCCACCATTGTGTAGTGAATAAGAGCAGCCTTAGAGAATGGGGTACAGTTGAATGTCTTTAATACATACTCGTCACAAAAAAACAGGCACTATCACTAAACTCAAAACGGGATTCCAGTTAATTTCATCAGTGCAGAGGAAACAGGTCAAGAAATCGTGCTCCCTCCGGCGTCGAAATGACTCACGACGAAGGGAGGTGAATGACTTGCAGACCATAAGCAGCCTTCACTTCAGCAAAGCATTCGTCCAAGCACAAGTGAGTGGGTTTTTGTCCCAATTGTTAATCTGTTGTAGTGAATGAAACAACCGCTTGTCGCAACACCGAGACAGATGCAACGTTGGGAAAACACAAGTGCAAAGAAATGTGTACAAGGAATGATGAAATTTGGTTCTATAGTGCCCGCACAAAGGTCCAAACGCCTCCATTTCAAGGACCACTTATAATTGAAATGCTTCAGTGCCCGAGAAATCCAGAAAAAAAAAACAGATGAGCTCAGCATTTGATAGACAATATCAATTATTATAGAGTAAATAAAACTTGCATGAGCTGAACACTTGCAAGGACGGAGTTTAGCCTTTGATTTTAAACTGTGCTGAGAGTTGACTTTGCATGTTAAAGTAATGAGGACTGTAAGATAAAAAACGAAATTATGAGTCAATAAGACATTCGGAACTCAAAGTCGTCGGCTTGTGGACACTTGAAAATGGGGGAGGCAAGTAGAGTGCAAGTAAAATACTTAGAGCCATCAGAAGTGAATGGCGAGATATGAGGAAATATACTCAAATGCCTCTTATGCACGCTTAGAAGAATTAATAGCCACCATTACAACAAAAAAGGGCAATTAGGAGCATGAAGAGCCCATTAATTTCGGCATACCCATCAGCGAAGACATCGTCACAGGTAATATCATTGGTGAAGAGGGCATCTTCAGCATTATTAAGGACGGACTCAAATAACGTCCTTTCTCTTAATCCCTCACGAAGCTGACCAAAGTGTGAGTAGGACACAGGACAAATGACTTAAAGACGCTCCATTTTATCGTGTCAGTACTTATGATTAGGCGAGACAACAGATTCCGATAGGGGTGGTTGATTTTGGTATCGTTGCATTAAGCATACAATATTTTGAAAGCGGTGTATTTTAAGATAATGATTCTACCGATTTTTGACTTCTTGTATTCGTCACAAAATAGCAACATAAAAATGAAGCCAAATGAAATTAAAGCAAATCCAAGAGAAAGAAAGCCAGCGAAACACAGGTGACAACGAGAAATGCCTACAGAGGCATAAGGTTGTGATTTTAATGTGGTCAAGTCAAATTTTTAAGCAAAAGCTATTTAAAAGGCGAGTGACCTCATGCACCGATTAACCCTTTGCTACCCAAAATTACCTATTAACCCATCAACTTATGCACTTGCCCATCTATTTTATCGTTTCACTTACTCGCCTGTGTATCATCGAGCAAACAAATTAAAGGTTATGGAAGTGAATGATGAGCTCCTAATGTGAAGGGCGAGCGCGATAGCCGAAAAAGTGTAACACAATTACCTGATTAACCGTGAGAGGTGAGACATGTGGCTCTCCAAAAGGCTCGTTACAGAGATTATCTTGAGGACTTGTGTTCAAACAGGAACCCAGAGGAGTAAAGGCGAGAAGAGAATCACACGTGGGTAGCCCAATAATAGGCGTGCATGGAGAGAACACGAAGATACTCGGTTGGTTCAGCCACGGGGATGCATTAGGGGAGCGATAACCACTGTACTGATCACTACAACTGGCTCCACTCAAAAACCAGTCATAGGAACTTCGAGTTGCAGTGAAAAAAAGAAGACTTTCGATAGACTTCCTGTTGCTCAAGCGCAGGAGCGGATGTGGTAGAGTTTGTGGTACCAGTTGCCGACAAAATGATGGAATTTGTGGTCGTGGCAAAGTGCAAGGCTGAACTGAAAAGTGTTAATGTTTGACTCTTTCGGACCATCAAAATTGAATGCACGATGCCTCATCAATGAAACAAATAATGCTATTTCCCGATTCCTTTGAGCGTTAAAGGTAAGTTTGGCTACGACTGAATGCAGATGATAAATAGCATCTACCAGGCATCAAGGGATCAAAAAAATCCATTAAAAACGCACATCTATCTTTGTTCAATTTTATACTGGTGCAGGCTTGCCTCCATGTCAGAATTCGTTCATTCGTGTGCTCACTTTGTGGATGTTGTTCATCAAAACAACATGATCGAGTTGGTGGAGGTCTGTGTACAAGCCAAAATGCCCGCTCCTACAACAGCAAAAGTTTTGGACATGGAAACCAAATGTCCAAAAAAAGAGTTCCAGGACATAACGTGTATAAACCTGAGCCTCATAAATAATTCTATCACATTTGCGTCGGCATTTTTGAATTCTCTCTTGGTCTGCTGCCTGCATGCAAATGAATTCCCACTTTCTAGCGAGAATAACGTGTAAACGACGCAAAGCCCTCTGTTCATAGTCTTCCAATCCATATTTTTGCCAGTTGTGCAGTGTGCGTCGAACTAAATATATAGCATACTCCATTGAGTCGGGCCTTTGAATCTTTGACAGCCAATAGTAAGGTGCCTTGAGGATGTTTAAAGATAATGGACATTACCTGGAGCCGATAGAAAGCAGCTGGGTCATTCTTGACCACATACGACTTAGAATCTGTTAGCGGATAGACGTATCCATACAGCAAAAGTATATTGGCAATATGAGTGGCCTCTTGTGGACCATCAGTTCCCAGAAAATGTTTAATCCATGATATTAAGTTGTCACCAGAGATGGCTGAAGGGATGGTTGTAAGAAAAACTTTCTGAGGCCTGGCAGGTATTTCAAAAAATATGAATGATATTACCTAAAGCTAACACCCGATTTGGGTTCTTGCATGGCCTTGATTAATTTCTCGATTTTATAGACCTCATCGCGCAATCTCATTGTCGAGAATACCGCGCCAACGACTTAGACTGATGTTCCAATACCAGTCAAGCAAGCTTATTCAAGGCCATCAAAAATAGATGAGTCAAACAAAAATGATAAGAATTCAAAAATATACACGACTTCTTAAATCTTGCTTACGTACTCCTAATCAAATTTTTTGATACATTTATGAAATAAGGCGCTGGTGTTATGAAAGAAGATGGTAACGGTTGCGTTCGTGCAATTTTTGGTTTTACTCTCGCTTATTGCAAGGCTTTTGTTAAGTAGCAAGTAATATTGATAGTCTAAAGCCAAGGTTTTATCTGATTCTTAGTTTTTTTCTGCTAGGTTGAATTAGAGAGGTTCATTGGCATGGCATTACCTCATATGGTAAATAAAACGCTGTGATTGCTACATCGAGAGACTTCCACGGAGTATAAGAAGACATTGTAAGAGCTACCGGTCTGCTCTCTGGTCTCTGCTCCTCAGACTTCAAGAGACAGTTGGTTGCAGATGATTTATTAGGTAATTTTATTAGGAAGGATGGAGGATGGGATGCAGATGAGGCGAGTAGGAGATATCAGTTGGAGGGAGACTCCTCGCCGGCTTCATGCAAGTGGTTCGCGTTTTTAATTGGTTTCCGCCTCTCACCTATAAAAGTAAAACTTAAACAAACTGTTATATATTACATACATAAGGTGAAACTGAATGTAATACTTTGTTCATGTAACCATGCCCATACCCATTTGCCCTATCGTCTTCGGAATACATGTATCCAGCTGCACTTACTGACTTCTTATACCGACTAGGAAGTCTCGGAATGCTGCAACCACTTTGCTTCTGCAATTAAGCTGGTAAGCGTATGCGCAAATGATGTAAATGCCGTGGATGGTTTTTAACACAGCACAGGTGTTGCAAAAATATGATCTTCCTTCTCAAGCAAATGCAGCTTTTCTCACCGCGAAAAGCCATGACATATTAAGGTATAGTGTTTAACGTCACTCCTTTTGTCCCAAAACTTATCGTTTCGAAAATAAATTGTGTTAAGTAAAGTTAATGTCGGTAAAAGGAAAAATTATTAATAAATAAGGCTCATGCATTGCAATGCTTCATATACGAGGCTACGTGACGTTCGGTGGTCACTTTAGGATTTATCTGGCCCCTGCACGTGTGGACTGGCCTTCGGACGATGCCCCGGACCAGTAGTTTTATTCCCTTCGAAATACATGTGTTCAGCCTCACTTACTACCTTCTTTCACTCTGTGAGAAGTCTCCGGACGCTACAGGCATGACTCGATCGCCATGTTTACCCTGCAGAAGCATGCTAGTTGTTGAAGAGACAGCCACACATGCATGCTGTTGCTTAATCAAGCTAATATATGGCCTGCTCCTTTTCAGTGTTTGTTTGGCGATAATGCATGTAATACTTTGTTTGTGTGACCACAGGACGTTTGGCGGTCACCTTTGGAGTTGTCTGGCCCTTGTACACGTGGTCAGGCCTTTGGGCCATGCCCAGGCCCATTTGTCCTGTAGTCTTCGAAATACATGTATACAGCTGCACTTACTGACTTCTTATACCGGTTAGCAAATCTTGGGACGCTACAATGGTGGCAGCGGGAAGCGAACCCGACATTTTTCCTTAATGACTTTTAGTCGAGGTGGGGTCTCTCTCTGCGGCTTGTTATTCATTGGTCGTTTGTTAAAAGTGACATAGTGTAGGAGAAAATCGATTGCACAACAGACGCCGCTGTCTTACTGGCATCCTACGTTTGTGTTGCTTAAGATTGCCAATTAGTCGACTGGTTTCCGGAAAAGAACTGTATGAACAATTCGACGAGCAATGACTCGATCGGATGATGCAGTGCTTCGGTACCTACAAATCGCACAGGATCTGGAGATGTGTGTCGCTTGCTCTTGGTGTTGATGCTCTGGGTTTGAGTATTTGCGAGCTTGATAATCTGTTGGACTCCAAAATCGGGTTCCCTTGGCCGGAATTTCGACACCTCTTTTCACGACATGAAGTTTACTATCCAACCAGCGGACAAGACTGCAAAGGGAATTGACATTTTGGCGTTGCCCACTGACAATCGTGAGCTATACATGAGTAGAAAGAAATCTTAATCTATCGAAGTGCAATAGATGAAGATAAAGGCGTAAAGAGGACGTGAATTGAAGGAAGCGCATTTACTTTGGTGGTGGACGAATCCTTTAACCCATCACAATGAAAGGATTCGAACTGACGTCTGCATGTGGTTTCACCTTATTCCGTATTCCACAGACAAGCTATTAATAACTGAAGCGACACCGGCGTGAACTATCTGGAAAAGTTTCGTGTCGGAATTCCCCATACAAAATCCGTGTTTAGGTTTCGGAACTGACACCACGGTTCTCCTTACACACGGGACAGTGGCTCATCCCGTTTTCCTTGTAACATATATGTTTTAGACCAGAGTTACACCGTCTGTTCCTGGAAGCAATTGATGATCAACGGGTGCGTGCGGTCCCGAATCTGGTTGTCAGACCGAACGTACCTCCAGATCCAGTTGAAGCTGTAGAGAATACCAGGTACGGTTCCTCAGTCTCGTGTTGTCTGCCGACTAGCGCGGTTGGCTCGTGGGTGCTGTAGCCTTCCGAGGCTTTCCATAGGGTGGAAGAAGGCATAATTGGGGGTGAATACATGTATTTTGGAAGACGATAAGACAAATGGGGCCTGAGCATAGCCCGAATGCCACCCACGTGTACAGAGATTTAAACAAATTCCAAAGTCACCGCCAAACGTCATGTGATCACACAAACACAGCATTACACTGCCCCTCTTCTTATGAGCTACGTCCTCAGCGCTACCCCTCGGTAAACTTCCCGCACGAGCCATAGCAGCATATTCGATACTACATGAAAGCACCAGTAATGCCTTGTTTATATGACTACATGATGTTTGGTGGTGACTTTAGAATTCGTCTGGTCTCTGTACACGTGGGCTGGTCTTCGGACCATGCCCAGGCCCCATTTGCCCTGTCGTCTTCAAAATACACGCATTCAACCACACTTATGCTTTCTTCCACCCTATGGGAAGCTTTGGGACGCTGCACGCTACGCCTGCTTGCGTTCGCATGTATTTATCTTGCATTTAACCATCATTTTTTGTCCTCTTTGTTTTCTAGCTTTATTCTCTTTAATGTATTAAAGCAACATATAGATGTATTCCAATTAAGCCCTTGCACTTGCTCTCCTGATGCATTTTTTGTTACATCTTTAATTTTTTGGCGTGCGTATAATTCCTGTTCTATATCGTGGTTTTAAAAATCAATTGTTTATTCATATAAACTATTATAAATGACCTTTATTTTCTAGTCTAGCCAATGAGTTTTGCGTGAGGGTAGGTTTTGCTGCGATAATTTGGTTGGTGCTGCTTGATGTTGCAAGTTTCTCTGATCCTTTCAATGTGGGGTTCCTTCGCTTGTCTAAAACATTTTTCTTATTCCCCGAAACTGCGCATTCTCAAACTATGAATGTTTTGGATCAAATCTTTTTACCTCTTGAACTTTTCATCTCTTTCTATATGTTTTAATTTTCATAATGTCGTTTATTACCCCGTATTTTTAAGTGGACTTTCTTCTTCAACTTTATGGATTTGATGCAGCAATGAAATTCACCCTAACAGCTAGGTAATTAATAAGAATTTTCTACGAAATATTGCGAGAACTTGCCGATTTTGCTTATCCTTATCGAAAATTCCTTGTTTCCGCAGATGACATCGTCTCCGTCTACCAGTTCTAATGGCTCTCCAAAATCGAATCGACAGTATCATCCGCAGTTTCAACACTCTCTTCACTACTCTAAACCTTTCTCCTACGGTCTTGAGCAGCGCCTCATCGACATTTCAGATGAGGATGCTTCAGACGATGAGTCGCGTCCGCGTTTGCCTGTCACAACAGGCAACCTGAACAAGTGGACCAACATGCTTCATGGATGGCAGGAACGTTACTTTGTATTGAAAGATGGCGTTCTTAGTTACTTTCGCAACGCTGATGATGTGGCTGACGGCTGTCGTGGAGCTATCCGTCTCAAGAATGCTCAAGTTCAGCCTCATCCCTATGATGATTGCCGAATAGATGTGCGTTGCTGTGTTGTAAACTATCTTACCAATTTGTTGATTCCCAATTGACATGATAGTATTAAAAGCAGAATGACTTTTTGGTGCTGAACGAATCCAACTTTGGATAACTTGAATTTCGCTGCGCCATCCTGCTGAAGCTTTACACTTTTTCGAAAGCAAACACTTAGTGCCTCATTAGGCAGTGGATATGTAAGCAATACAAAATACTTTCTGTGTTTTAAGCTACCACTGCAACTCATTAGTCTTAATCGATCAAGATATGACGTTAGTTAAAGCTCCGTCTTTTGCACGCATGATTTAAATCACTTACTCTTCTTTGGGCGTCGTCATTCACCACTGCAGCTAGTTAGCATACAATGCGAATTGCCTCGGAAATTGAATTCTATGGCATATATAAATGTGGCACGAAATGCTTAAGTCTAAGCGTAGAGAGCATCTTCTATTGTAGTATGAATTCTGTGTTTCACTTAATACGGTACCTTTTCTGTAATCGCAGAAGTTGGCATGGGAATCGAATCTTATGGGGCTTCAACATTCTTATCAATGTATGATTTCAAGTGCTTTGACGTCTGATTCTAATGTATTGTATTGTAACATCGTTTTGTCTACCGTTTTTCATTTGACTTCTTTAAACCGCCTTAGACCTGTCAACATGAAACCGCTGTGAAATTAATTTAGCTTTAAGCCGACTATTATTGTTTTTGGTTTTCCGTAGGTGAGTCTGGGAGACTCCACTTGGTACTTTCGGTGTCCCTCGGCTCAATCTCGAAGACATTGGGTTGAATGTATCGAAAAGCATCGATTAGCAGACTCGGGCTATTGTTCAGAGCAAGCACTGACGACGCGGAGCTCGCTCCTCTCCCTCAACTCCATAACATCGGCCTCCAACCTCGGTGGTTCTGGTGTTCTTCGTGGACAAAGTCTTTTTGACATGGTTGCCGAGATCGAAAGCTTCAAGTGAGATTTAAGCACTTCTTACGATTGAACAGCAAATGACTATCACTAATGGGCCCCTTTTTTTTACTCCTATGGGCGACTCTCATTACATTGCTAGCCAAGTTGATTCATTCGCAATGCACTTTCTGTCCCTCCTCTTTATTATAAAGAGGTCCGTTATCTGACCTGGTAGCTTTTATGGCATATATCATCGTAAAATGTCCATGCGAGTAGACACTCGTAACGATTTCTGCCTTTCTACATATTTCACATTGTATTTAACCCTCGCTGTTTAATCACAACTAAGCCACTGAATTTCACTTGGCGTAAGCCTCAGGCAGTGGTACTGTTAGCTGACGTCCAAGTTTTCTTCCGTCGTATGCAGGCAGTCATTTTGTCGTACTGTGATGTTTCACATAATTGCTTACAAAATTTGCAAACCCAGATAGCCATTATTGTTGTAATAGAGCTGTGCATACACATGGATTACCACACACAAATCCGCAACTGTCTTTTGTGACTCCTTTTTCTGGCATTTCTGTTAATGTCATGATAGTCGCTTTCGCATCTTCCTCTGGCTCTATCCATCCATCCATTTATCTAATTTGTCAAGAAATTTACACTACCGGCATTTATTATGGTATCTCAGGGTCAGGGGCGCCTCTTACGCAGATGTGGTCACTTATATTACTACCCTCACCTGTATTTCCTTAATTCTGGCAAACTAAAGTGCACACACATATACACACATGGGGGCGGATATGCAAACTAATGCGCGCACACACATACAGGACAAATTGAATTATAGCTTCATTTTTGGCATATTTGCCCCTGTATGGGTCTGCAAATCACTCCTACATCTCCCCTTAATTGTTAGCTCCTATTTTACTCTTCGACTCTTGCATGACCTCGCATAGATTTTCGCATGAACTCGCAACAAAAGTACTCCCTTCTGCCTTGCCTTTCCCTCGCCTCTCCCTCCTCTCTCTGTCTTTCTTCCCGTTTATTTCTGTGAAATATCAATGGAAACCGACCAACTTGAGGTATTTTCGTAGTCGCATTGCTCCATTTGATTAGTGGGTGGAATGTTGCTTTGTTGTTGCTAACGTGAGTCCTTTTTCCACAGTGTAGAATCAAACGACATTCACCATTAATTTGCGTACGGGTGTGCTTGTGCGTGTGTGTGAAGAGCTTGAGATTGTTAAAAATGACTTAATGAACGAATGGCACTGCCTTAAGGTGTTTAAGCTCTGGTGGCTCATGCCTTTCTCGTATTTTTTTGGCTAAGAATGACGCCTTAAAAGGTGAATCAAGACTGAAAATAAATTTAGAGGTGGCATTAATGATTTCGGTTTTACATAGCCTGGACTTCTTAGACAACTCCATTTCAAGAGGTAACTGACCCCGCACCACGTTTGATTGGTTAGTCGTCTCCCTTGCTAAAGATCACATTTTATGGTCCTTTACCGGCCTTTTTGCCTCGCGGCCCTGCCCTTTTCTCCTCCCCATTAAATTGTATTGGTAGTTTCATCATGAATGTTTCGATGACGCTTCCATGTGATGCTACTTCAGTTGTCTGTTGGTTTTTGTTTAACCCAGAAATGCAAACGTGACCTCTAGAGTTATTCCTTTGTGAGTTCCTACACAATCAGTCACGCCCACTGCACGCCTTCTTCTATGGCAGCTAATCGAATTGTCCTCTGTACCTCAAATATTAAAGATATGAGTTTACTTAAAGCAAAAGATCTCGTGTGGTCAAATCGCTGTTTTGTTGTTACTCATCCCTCAAGGAGTCACTTTAGCCTCTATCTTCATCCGACACTCCTTTTAAGCCTCTGTTTTCCTTGTGCCCTAGGACAGTGTTATGTCAGCAGGCAGAGAAGCTACAGGCCTACTTGGACACCTGCTACCGAATTGCAGTGCAGGCCGAAGAAGCTGGAGGCTATGACCACCTTCTAGAGTCCGCAGTGTTTGAGGAAATCATCTGCCACCTACATCGAGAGGTGTCAGCTCTACGTGCGACTCCTCCTCGTCGCACTGTTGCGACATCGGAAAAGACGCCACAGCCGAGTTTCGAGGAGCCCGACACGGATACGGATGATAGGGACTCTCTTGTCTCAGATATGGTAAGTGGAGGTGAGAGGAAGAAATTCCGCACTTCCAGGTCTACGCTATTGTAAACACTGCTCGTTGGCATTAGCAACGCCTTTGAGCCTTAGTTTTCAGTGCTGTTCTTTGGGTATTATTTTTTTGCTAGCGAAACAAAGGGTTAATCGGTCACATGATGTGGGGGAGAATGCTTGAGTTCATTTACATTCTTATGGCCTGTAAAAGTTGAATTTATGTGGAGATTGTGACTTCAAGTGGTTATTAGGGCATTTGACGTCAATGTGTCTGCCACCAAATGTGAAAAGCTGGTTTTGAAAAATATTTTGCTGTAGCATCGTGTAAACAGAGCAGATGTTTGGTATCTTCAGTCTTGATAGTTACTGTCGATGGTGTGATTTCAATCCACTCTGGATATAACATCCTCAATAGCTGCAGTCGACATTGGTTGTCTCAAGAGGCGAATTGTTATTATCTGTTACAACTTTAGAGTTCGGATGAGTTGCTGTTCTCGACTCCCCTTCCTCGTGATTCCACAATAATTCAGCAGAACGGTGACCATCTAATTCACACAGTCGATTCCTCTCCTTCTGCCTTTTTCAACACCTCTCCCGCGGCCTCTGGTGCCTTAGCTCCCAAGACTAACAATGTTGTTTCACCAGATTCTGGAGATGAGGGTGCCAAGACACCAAAGGCCAATGTCACTTCCCGCAGTTACGGAAGTGGTGGGGGTGGTGGGTTTTTTTCCCGCTTTTTACCCTTTCGTGGCAATGCAAGCAGTAATACCAATGCCTCTCCCAATACTGCCTCCTCGGGTGCTGTCAGCGCTGCAAGTGGAAACCAGGCGAAATCATCACTTTCTTCGGTTAGTTTTGACTTACCTCGATTTGGCTGACGCTTCTCAAAAAGTAGGACCGAATGAACCACCGTTTAATCTGTCTTAACCCTCTGAATTCATCACTTTCCTCATTGGAACATTGTGAAGGTAGAGGGGCTCTCTTACTGAAACGATGAACGCGAATGCGTCGTTGTTTCAGAACACGATAGATTCCTTTCACTTTGTTTTTATTTCTTCCCAAATTCACCTCACTACTTTAGTCAGTCGATGAAGTGGGGGCGTCGCATGCCTTTTATGCTGGAAGTGAATATTTTGACGTCACCGAATTGTATCGCGTGGATTAGCTGTAAACTACTTGGTGGGACTAGCAGTAATACTCTTGTAAACAACTCTGAATTAAGGCAGGCACTAACATTGATGACAAAGATGGGAGTTACTGTCACCTCCTCGCTTTCTTTTGTGCGTGCGGTGTTGAAGATCAGCTTGCTCCTCTCCTTGCTCTCTACGGCGAATGTGTACATCGCTAATGTCTGGTTTTATTCCATCTGAGTCGAGAAAAATTGTACTTCGGGAAGTTGTGGCCTTAGAGAGCCTCACAAGTGCCAGCGAGGTTATCTAATCGCTGCATCAAACAGGTGCGGTCATCCTACCTGATGGTCATCTTATTTGCTTGCTTAATTTGGGTCACCGAAAGCAGCGTGTTAATCTAGGCATGAATATCGAATGGAACTGTGAATAACCCATTCTAACAGTGCTTTCAAATCTTGCCTTTCCTCAGGAAGAATCATTGTGAACCCCCCTTGACGTTATTCTATCCTACCTTTTCATTAGTTTTCATTGCATAAAGTAATTGTGATTCTCTCGAACTGGTCTAATGCTAGTCTGTGGACTTATTTAACGATACTTCTTGACAATTTTTCAATCACTTTTGTTTGTGTGTGTCTTGCTATTGTTTCGTGAACACCCTGGCCTTCGGCACGACACTTGTAGCTGTGAGCACCAACCCTCTTGGTTGAATCATTTATGCTACCGTACACACATACACACGCACACACTGAATGCATGATCCATAAGGCATCAGAGAAATGTGTGCACCTCTCGGCGTCTAAAGTCCATGTTTGGCACTGCAAGTTTAAACAAGTGCTGTTCCTTTTTATGTCAACTGCATCGCATTGTGGCATGTGCTGCACTGCGTTGATCATCGAAGGATGAAGATCTACGCTTTCAGCATACTTGAGGTGTCACTCTCAACTCTAGCAAACCCCGTTCTTCAATCAACTCTAAAATATACGACTTTCCTCCTCAGAAATTTATCGACTGTAATTTAGTCTGTCGCCTGTGCATCTGAATAACGAGACTGGTGTTGCATGAATATGTGTCGCAGTGAATGTATTAGAGGTCAATTTTTGTCGTTTTTCCCCACCCCTCTAGAGCAAGGGCAAGAACCGATCTGAACCGCCGCTTCATACCTCTCGAATGCATGATCTCGGCATCCTTCTCAATCACTTTGGCGCATTGTCGATTGAGTTTGGAACGGAGGTGGACCTCTTCAGGGTACGTTGGAGACAAAAATGCTTTTCGATTTCCTCACCATTTTAATAACAATGGCTTTTGATTGGCCATTGCTGCTGGAGTAATGCTGTCTGGGGCTTGCTATCTCAACGATGCTCAAAGTGTACTTTGTCAAAGACCTTCACATCTAGGTCATCCAGGCTTGTACACAGTGGATTGGAGTTTGTTGAAATGCCCTAGATCTTCCAAGAACTCAAAAGTCATCTGCTCATTTGTAACGGAAACTTTTATCGTCAACATAAATGCACTGCTGTGAATAGGCATGTGAAAACACTGGTCCGTTGTCACCCAGACATGACATGAACCGATCCGCATTGCAAAACGATGATTGAAGTCCAGCAATCTCAATAAGGCATCCCTTTCCAGACCAAGTTTCTTTCCTAATTTGTCACTACTATTTCCTTATGGTTTGTTTTTTTCCCCTTTTTTAAAATTTCATTCCCACCTAGGAGTGACATGAGGGAGAATCGGCATCGCACAAAAATGGGACGTAGATCACAAAATAAGCTTGTTTTTTTATAGCATCCCATGTGCTGTAAATAACAGACTTTATGGCGGTTAATAGCCTTCCCAAATCCTCTCTATCCTCTGCCCTCATCACAACTCTTGCCCTTCCTCCACTCCCATCCTGAGTCACTGTGAAAACGCCTCTGCAATTGTAGCTGCAAACATTATGAAATGCAAAAGGGAGCCGTTGAAATGTCAATTTGAAAAGACAAATCACGTGAATGCAACTAAGGCAATTGTTGAGGCACTCTTCAACTGAGTAATGCATTGCTTTCTTGCGCCATTTGAATTGTGAAGGAGTGGAAAATCATGACATCAAGCAACCACTAAGTTTATTGCCGTCATTTGAATGGTCATGCGCCTATTTGCCTTTAATTGAGCCCTCTCATCTGCCACTTCGGCTTCCTTCCTTTATTTTATGCAAGTGCTTAATGTCCTCTCCCTCCCTCTCTCTCCTTTCTCATGCTTTGATTGTTTTCATGCATTTCTAGTTCCTTTTTTTAGTACTTGAGCAATAATTCGGTGACCTATTGTTACGTCTTATGGGCACGTGCTTGTTCTTGTAAATACGCCGCTGTGGTAGTAGCATCTCGTTTGCTACTTGATCGTGGAAATGATACTGCGTTGCCACCTCTACACCAATAACGCATCTGATTTTTGTGTCCTTACTTCACCAGAAAGTGTCTTTCACCTTTCGAAATGCTAACTGTGGTGAGCTCTCAGTCACCAAAATGGCATTATCAAGCCTTGTTGAATTGGAAGTATCCACTGAACTACTGTTACTCCTTCCATTTGGCAAAGGAGCACTCTTTTCCCACAGGTGATACGTTCTCTTGTTTCGTTCGGAAAAGATGTGCTACTAAAAGATAGTTCCTAACGCTAGAACAGATTCATCATTAAAAATGACACATTCCGGAGCTTCATTTGGAAACATGATTGACAAGCTTATCTAGTGCACAGGAAGAAGTAACTTCCTTCCTGTCAAACCATGTGCTCGTCGCGAAAGTTACTGAGCCCGATGCTGGTCTTCTGCAATAGATCTTCTGCAATAGAGTCTCTTTTCCCCTTTTTTATTGATAAGATGTGGTTTTGAACAAGTTTTTGAAGGCATCCTCCTCTCCAGTATGTTTATCTAAAGACTGGTAAAACATATACGAGCAGTTGTTGATGATCCTTGAACGACACAGTCAAATTCTCTTGCGGTGCGACAGGGTTTAGCGAGCCTTTCTCAAGTCCCCACCACCAAAGTTGCATTTTGTGAAGGTTTGTTCCTTTTCATTTACAGCCTTAAGTGCATTCACTTGGAGTTGAATGCTACAGACTTGAAGTACACTTTCAATAGTTCAGAAAACTAGGCTATTTTTCACAGTTCATTGATGACTCCAAAGTGCCATGTGTGGTTGTTCAGCAGATAGAGATTTCAATATGACCGATACAAAGTTTTTTTCCCAAGCAAACTCATTCACTTACTTTATTAAGACAACTCAACAGTGGAATATGGGATTATATGATTGTTTTTTTTTTTAATTATTAAGATTTCAGCGTCATTATCGTTACTCTCAGCGTCGCGTGTGTGTGACGTCCTAATTTGCGAGTTTGCTCCGACCGATTACATTAAATTGCACTATAAACCGATCGGTTGTTACTGAGGCAGTAAATTGAGTAGCCCTGGTCTCGGTGAGTTTCCATTTTTTCTTTGTCAGGGATTGGCAACGTCGTTTGGTACTACTCCAGAACAATAGCGCATCTGATGACTGAGGTGACCAGGTTTGACATAGGATTCCAACAGGAAACTCCCCATCACTCAATTTGTTTGAACCACTGAGGTTTTATAAGACGCTATTCGAGTTGTGTTGTCTCATCTTCCAATAAAAATTCGTGAGGATTACTCTGTCATTCTCTGCGTCTCATTGTCTATCTGTGTTTGCCATTTCAGAGCACCTCGTCGGCACTACAAGCAGCCCTTAGCCGAACTGTGGAGGTCTTCAATCAACGTGAGGACACCTGGCGTCGTCGTCTCGAGCGCGAGGCAGAACGAAGACGCACCTTGGAGCGTCAGTTGAAAACCGCACAGGATGCGGCTACAGCTACACGCCTCAATGCCACTCTTATGACTCGCCGTGGTATCAGAATGGTGCCGGGTAAAGCTCACCAGCGTAGCCACAGCCATGGCGGTCAGCAAAATCTCTACGGCAATCAACTCTTTCCCCAACTCGCCGCGGCTCCATCCACCACTATTACCACCGCTGCCGATAGCGTTGTCACCTCTCCTGTTGCCCGTGGGGAGATGTTTATTGTCGAGGAGAGGGGTCCCGACTTTGCTGAGGGCGGCTCTGAGTACACTGTCTGCGAAGAGAACTTCTACGACGCAATTGATGCACAGCTTGACAAGATGCACCGTGAGTGGCAGAAGCTTTGCTTGTGATTGGCTGTGGGAATGACCATGTGTGTGTTTTAAAATCTGTCCCACTTTACTTTGTATCGTGAGCCAAGATTTTTCTCGTTTTTTTTTTTCGCTTGAGCCCTCATAACGACCTATAGATTATCATACCGCCAATGACTGCTTT